AAAAGAGGGTTTTCCCTAATCCTCATCCTCCAATTTACAGAAATGAACAAAAAGAATAAAGCGTATGGAAGTGTATCTGATGCACAGAGAAGCCAGAAAGCAGCTACAATCCAAATCACAGCCTGAAAACAGCATCCACTGTGAACATCTGGGCATGAAGGGACACAATGATTGACTTAGCAAGTATTTATTAAGCATCTACTATGTTCCAGGCACTTCTGGGTGTTAGGAATCCCACAGTAAACAGAGGAGATAAAGATTTCTATCTTCACAGAGCTTACACTCTAGTGGGAGAGATAAACAATGAACAAAATAAATGAGTCAACCACGTAGCGCATCAGAACGTGGGCACAGGGGATATCCAGAAAGGACTGAATGAGAACTGTAAGGTGGGGTATGGTTTGACATCAATGAGAAGCCAGGAGGCACTGGGGATGGTTTGCTCAGTTAGGACATGGGGGTCACGCTGTGGGGGGGCCAGGGCAGGGAGAGCCCCTTGGGCCTTGGATTCAGTGGCAGTCTATGGTGATGCTTACTGTTCCAGCTTTTGAGAAGGAGAGAGATTCCTCTAAGACTGTAGAAGAGGAAACTGAGGCAACTAAATGAAGATGTTTCTCTGGGAATGAAGAGGGCTGGAGGTGTGGATGGGCTTCAAGAGAACCAGGCAAGTTCCTGGGGGCCTGATCCCCACCGTGAGGTCAGGGGAGGCCCTGTGTGCACTGTGTTTATTCCTGCCAGGAATGTGGGATGTGAAATCCATTCAATCCACTGGATAGGTTGAACTGTCTCCCCCAAAACTCCTATGTTGAAGTCCTGACCTATGGGACCTCAGAATGTGACCCTATTTGGAGATAGTGCCTTTATTTTTTAAGTTTTTTATTTACTTAAGTCATCTCTACACCCCACGTGGGGCTCGAACTCATCACCCCAAGATCACGAGTCACATACTCCTCTAAATGGGCCAGCCAGGTACCCCTGGAGATAGAGTCTTAACCAATTTAAAATGAAGACATCAAGGTGGGCCCTAACACAATACAACTGCTGTCCTTATAAAAGGGAGAAATTCGGACCCAGACATGCATGTGGGGAGAGCATCACATGAAGACCAGAGTCATGTGGCCACAGGCGAGGCCAGGGGCAAAGCCTTCCTCAGCATCTCTTGAGATTGGGGCCCTTCATCTAGGACTCTGGGCTCCAGAACTAGGAGACAATACATTTCTGTTGTTTGAGCCACGTGGTCTGTGGCCCCTTGTTAGGACAGCCCCACAAGACTGACACAGACAGCAGAGAAAATACCGTGGGTTACTTACCAGTGGGAAACAGCCATTGCCTTCTCATTCCTCCGGATCGTAGGCAGAGAAAGAGGAAGTGATGTGATGGAGAGGAAGATGGAGGTGAGATATCCATCAGAATTGCTTCTGATACTAAGATGGAAACTTCCTTCCCTAAAACCGAAGCGGACAGACTAGCTTTTCTTGGTCCAATCTGATCAAGAACATGTGATTTTTGATAAAAAAAATCTCTGAGATAATTTCTATCCAGAACCACTGGGGCCTCTCGTGAAAAGCAGAATTTAAATCATTCTTATCTGGTGCTACAGTGAGCGCTTGTGACTATTTTTCATCGCATCACAAAGTGGGAGCCTGTGCTCACGTGACCATGCAGAGAAACATGGCGCCCGTCTTGCTGGAGGCTTTTACCAAACAGTTTTAGCATGAGCAGGCTTTCGGATTGCAGAGTTGCTACAGGAAAGAGTTGGAAAACAGACCCTGTGCTGGGAGGCAGAAGAGATTTTGTGTCTCTTTGATTTTTGTGTTTAAATTATTTAAGTCCAAGTGGCACCTGCAGATCTAAGTGGGAGAGAAAATGCCAATCTGATCACTTTTGCACCCGACGTCCAGCGGAACAGAGCATACATGAAGGGACTGAGCCCGCACCAGGCTGTGGCCGACTCCTCCCATCTGCATCCAGCCAAACGCATGCCCAGCACACACACAAAACACTGCGGATACTTACAAAAGAGAGCACTTTATAACTAGAAAATAACTGTTGCTTCTTTTGGCATCCTTTTAACTGTGAATGTATTGAAACCCTTCACTAATAGGGGGCTTACCAGAAGCGTGGCTGGGGAGGCACCAATACACATGAAGTATTAACACAAGTCAGCACATCCCAAGACAGACCTTTCCAGAACTTGATGCCCAGTGGCAAGAAGGCGTCACATCTCTGCCCTTCTCCCTAGCGGTAAACCTGCTATTGAAAACAAAAGCTCATTTCAATGAGATGCTCATTTATTTTTGTCATTTGCCCATCACAGAGCTCCAGTGTTGAGCCCTTTAGGAAACGGGGACACTTAATGTATGTGAATCGCCTGCAGGCACCGAGTAGGAAATCCCCAGCTGGACCCACTAGGCTCAGTGCCTTGGTTGAGTGCTGTGTTATGGACCTAACACTGCACACTTAGGAAGACAAATAGGAAAATCGATAGAAATTCAACTGCTACAAACTGAGCTAAAACAACGGCAATGAGTGCGGGCATTTCTGAGACCCCCAGAATGGTGTCCTTGGTGTTAAGAGAGACCCATAGCACGCTCACCTTATTTGTGCAAGGAAAACAGTCTTTCATCTTAGAACAGAAGATCAGGGTTTAGGTGGCAGACAGATGGCCACCCCACAAAGACAGTCCACGGGGGCCCTGGATCCCCTTCTGTCCCTGGTCCTCCGAATGTTTTCAAACAGATGAAATCAGATTATAATAAACAATAAAGGCATGGGGGGGGGGTGGAATCTAAGCATCCGTGAAAGGAGGACAGGACAGCACGATCCGAGAGAGCCATCCCACGAGCAGACTGTCACCTGCAAAATCTGGGAGTATAAAATTCTTTCCCCTTGGCTGTCTCTCCAAATTCAACTTCAAAACCAGCCAGCGGGGAAGAGGGTTACATGGTGACTTTGACTTTTCATTTGGTACCTTTCTAGAATTTTTTTTTTATTACTTATGCTGATATTATTTTTATAACTACAAATTATTACTAAAGAAAGTACCCTGGTTGGGGCATCTGGGGGGTTCAGTAAGTTAGGTGTCCGGCTTCAGCTCAGGTCATCATCTCATAGTTTGTGAGTTCAAGGCCCGCGTCAGGCTCTGTGCTGACAGCCTGGAGCCTGCTTCGGATCCTATGTCTTCCTCTCCCTGCCCCTCCCCACTCATGCTTTATCTCTCTCAAAAATAAATAAACATTAAAAAAAATTTTTTTTTAAAAAGTACCCTGGTCTGTTAAGAGGGCTCTGGTCAAACCCACACTCAGGTGGGTATGTGTGTATGTATATACGCTCTCATTCCGATCAAAAGGCAGCCTGTGCCTTTTTGCTACCGTAGAACTTTCTAGAACTCCTCTGCTAGACAGATCTGCAGTATCTGTACGGGGAAAGCAGGCCGCAAGCTGCCTCATAGTAAAATACGCATTTTAGGATCTGTAGCCAGGGAATCACTTCGGAAGGACGGCTGGCACTGGCAGATTTTCTGAAGGGATGAGAAGTGGCGGGCTGAAGGGTGTTCTCCTTCAAATGCCTTTTCAAAACAAAACTCCCGTGTATGCTCTCTTTTGTCTCAAAACCCTGTGCACGGAAGAAGAAGCCAGGAGTCTTCCGTTGAGGCCCACGGCCCCTGGAGGGAGGCCGTGGAAACCCACCAGGGTGCTCACGGGGCCTGGAGCGGGCGCCCCCTGGCGGTTTCTTTCTCGTGGCCAAGCAGCTCGTTCACAAATCAGCACCGCCGAGCCGCCACAAGTGCTCCCCCAGCGCACTGTGGTTTGAATTCTAGGAGGTCTAGCCCCTCGACATTTCAGGGCCCTCCTACCTGTGGTATAGACACTCTCTCCAAGTGTGGGCCCTGGCTAGATGGGGAGCCCCTGTGCGTGTGCTAGAAATGCAGAATCTTGGCCCCGCCCTCCACATGTACTGAATGAGAACCTACATTTTCACAAGAGCCTGGGTGACCCATGTGAAGTTTCAATTTGAGAAGTATCGATCACACTGCTCAGAGGTGACCTAATGATACGGTCCGGGAGTCGTGGAAATCGCCTTAAAACCCAACCATCTAAGAGGGCTGTGTGCTGTGGGATTCCAACTACTGTAGATGACATTCTGGGAAAAGCAAAACTATGGAAATGGTGAAAGACCAGTGGTTACCAGGAGCTGGGGGCGGGGGAAGGAAGGATGAATCCGTGGGGCGCTGGACACCGGTAAGACAGAGGAGCCACCCTGCATGATACTGTAATGGTGGGTACGTGTCATTATATGCATGTCAAAACCCAGAGAATGTACGTAGTGAACCCTAAGGTACACTATGGACTTTAATCATAATGTGTAACATTTGCTCTTCAAGTAGGACAAATGTCCACACTGACACATGATGATAGTAATAAGGGTAATCAATGGTGTAGGGGGTGAGGGAGGATTTGGAAGCCCTCCGTACTTTCCACTCATTTGTCTAGAAGCCCAAAGCTACTCTAAAAAATAGTCTATTAATTTGACAACCCCCATCACAAACCAGTGGGGCGGCAGACATTCTCTCTCAGTCTGGGATACATAAAACCATCCCTGAGCTGTCTTTATGTCATTTCTTCTTACCCGACGTGAACTGTTGCTGCCCTTTCACCCAACAGCTGGGCAGGACCCCAAACTGGCAGGAAAGGAGACGAGGAGGGGCCGGGGTCCCAGGGGTGTCCCACCAGGCTCCACACCCCCTCCCGGTATGGATCCAACGTGGGTCAGCCCTGGGGTTACAGAACGTAAAGTCGTGATCGAACCGAGGCTGTGATGTAAGAATGCGGAGAGAACATGGATGCAAATATTTCGTGCTCCAGTAAACTGATTAGGAAATGACCAAATTACTAATCTGGGGGGAATGTGAAATAGGGGTCAAATTCTAAAGAACAAGTGTCTGTGCTAATCTCTGCATCTCACACTTTTTGTGTAAGTACGAATTTAATTACACAGAGAATTACAGCCGGATGTGTGAATAATGAGGGAAATGGCCTTATGCTTGGAAGCCACCTCTGGCAACAACAGCACATTCAACACTAGCGAGACAACTTGACCCAGTGAAGGAATTCACGTTTTCTGTTTATACAGCAGTTGGAGGCATCTAGAAATCCCAAGGTTAGGAATGGGGGTGGGGGGGGGTGGAGGCTGTGGACAGACCCTGCTCAGCACCAAGACCCTGACAACATGACCGCGTGCAAACACACAAATAGACAAATAACGTGAAGTTGATAAAAAAAAAAAGATGGACTGTCTTTGGGAGTGACAGCTGATTCCGTCTCTCCGTACATCTGGTCACAAATCCTGCTCTGAGATCATCTCAGGGAGGACAGCAGGTGATGAGTTTGGAAGCAGCGTGGGGCACAGGCAGCCGGAAATAGGACTGTCACCGCTTCTCTGTGGGCTACGTGTTCTCTCTTGAGTGTTTCCAGACTCTGTGTGTCCACAAGACTATGCGCTGCTGGGTGCTGGCCCTTAGCTCACATGGGCCGCGAGGTTTTCTTTTCCGCTGGGCTCCCGGGCGCCATCTTCTTTACAGCTGTGGAGTTTGGCTGAACTCTGCTTTTACTGACAGTTGGCTTCTTCTGTTTCTGGCTGTTGTTTTGAAGTGACTTCAGCCCCAGCATTTTACAATACTTGTTACACTGGTGCAGTGCTTTAAACTGATCGATGAAGGTCATGGAACAGTTGCCTTTGAATCCTTTGTACCTGTGGGTTTGGGGAGAAGGACACACACTTCTTACAAACAGGACACCTCACCAGCTTTGACAGAGGAAACTAACGGTAGGTGAAAAGTACGTTGATTCCTCCAGAGGCAAGGGTGGCCGAATGTTTGCCCCAACTATGCACAGGAAAAACTAAGCCTGTGGGATTAGGTAAAGACAAAGGTCCCCTGGCATGCCCACATCAGATCAAAGGCCTGTGATTATTCGAATGTTCTAGATGCTTACGGTTCCAATGAAACAGCACACTCTTGGCCTTTTTCTTTTAGTCATAGTGACTAGTGCTGGACCATCGTGATAAAAATTAGATCTCTTGGTAGTTTGAAAGCCACTCCAACCTGCCCATAGGTTCTGAATAAAACAAGACTATAACGTTGGGGCTGGAAGACATTATTTAGTTTAGACCTTTTTTTATTGTTCTTATTTATTTTTGAGAGAGAGACAGAGAAGCAGAGGACCTAAAGCAGGCTCTGCACTGACAGCAGGAAGCCCGATGCGGGACTTGAACTCATGATGCATGAGATCATGCCCTGAGCTGGAGTTGGACGCTTAACCGACTGAGCCACCCAGGCCCTCCTAGTTCAGACCTTTCAATTTAGAGTTTAAGGAATTTAGGCCGAGAGGTTCTGTCACCAGCCGAGAAAACAAAGCAAGTTGGTGCAAGAGCCAAGATTAGGATGCAATCCCCTGAGTCTTTCTCCTAGAGAAGACCACGGGTGTGTCACCCACCTGCTCCCCAGCAGGAGGAGAATGCGGGCCTTTGTCACTGGGGGGCTGACCTGCCTGGGGGTGGTCTCAGCATTGGGACATTTAACCCTCAAACTGTAAGTGACTGTTTTCACATCCCAATCATGGAAGGTTATAGTGTCTTCCTTGACGGGCCGGGTCTCCAGGCGCCCAATCCCCCCATCCACCTGCAGATGAACAAGACCCACCACGGAAGCTAATAGGCTGTTCAGAGGATGAATCTAGGGGTTCACGCACCTTGATGCACCCAGCTCAGCGCATGACACGAGGTATGATTCAGTTAACATGGCCACGTTACTCTCATGACCAGTATCATCATGGTACATCCTGTGGAAGGGATGTGGAAGCCGAGACTGAAGGATGAGGAGGGGAAATGGGGCGGTGGGGGTGAGGCTGGCACACAGAACCATCGGCATAATTTGTGAGGCCCCTGGACAAAATGAAACCATGGGCTTCTCATTCAAAAATCATGGAGACTTTTGAGCCCCCAATGGTGGGGTCCGCGTTCGACAGAGGCCCTTCTGAGCGCAGGGCCCTTTACGTGGCGGGCCCTGCTGGGTGGGGGAGAGCTCTGGCCACGGCTGATTCATGGGACAAACAAGAGATCCAGCCTCTTTCATTTGCTGGGAGAAACCACAAAGGTCAAGGAAACGTGGAGTGAATGGGGACGGAGACTGTGTGCCTTTCTCCATGAAATCCGCGCCGGGTTTGAAGCTCTTAGGGGACTGGAATTCTCCTTTCATCTCCTGAACCACAGCATCAGGCTGCAGCTCTGTCTTGACAAGTTCCTTACAAATCCAGCCTGCTCCCTCCTCCTCCTCCTCCTCCTCCTCCTCCCTGAGGGGCTGCTCTTCCCAGACCCCCTCTGGAAGCCCACAGTCCATTTGCTTGTGCAAACTGCCTGGGTTTCTAAAAGCCGAGCTCCCTCCCTAAAGAAGAAGTCAGCTCAAGACAGGAGTTGAATCCAGCAGGGTAGGAAAAGTTTCCGCTGCCAACCACGTCATCTTTACGTCTCTGTCTTCTGTAGGATGCGGCCGGAAAGGCTGAAATGTCAGCCCCGCTGCGTGTCTCTGGTGCCTGAGTGCTCTGGGCGGGACGCGAGGTCGCGTGGGCCTGGGCTTCTCAGACTCGATGGAAAGCCCAACCCCGTCCTTCCGGTGGAGGGAGGCCTCGCTCCTCAGACAAACTACGAAGGTCACGGCCAGGGGCAGCCTCCCTGTTGAAGCACCCTGGAACATCACGGTCATGTGTCTCAGGCTGCCTTGAGGCTTTTAAACATTCAGACAACATCTAGTCTCTACAGGGAAAAATCACTAATTCACGCTGGGACCTCCCAGAAAATTCGATTGTTGCTTCTTAAGCACTGCCCGGCAGCCGACAAGCATGTAATGCCGGTACGAAGTGAGCCCTTTTATGATGGTTCCCATGCTCTGTGGACAAAGAAGGCAGACTTCCCGGCAGCCCAGCAGGGTCTGCCCTCTTCGCTAGCCCCTGAGAGCCCAGACCTCTTCCCGGAAATCTGGCACCTTCTTTTCCTCTATGTCCCTTTCTTTAGAGTCATGGAAAGCCAGAGTAGGGCAGCAGGCACTGGGGCTGGATCTCACAACAGCCGCCCCAGGCAATGGTGAGGCTCTAGAGGGAAGGCTGCTCTGCTCAGTGGAGGAAGCCTTTCTCAGCCCCCCGCTCCCTGAAAGCCCCGGCTCAAGTGCATTTGTGTGGAGCCCTCCCTGACCCTGCCCCCACCACGAGAAGACAAACCTCCAATCTCTTCCCTCTATCTTTAGGAGAACTACACCCACTTCTCAGAATTCAGGGTGTGCCTCACCTCTCCGCACCACTGTGATGTCTCCCAGGATACCGCCTGATTCCCCACATACCTGTCCAGGGGAGGCTTTTCAATAAAGGCCAAGGAAACAAATGGATACCAGCCCCAACCTCAGAGCTACCTCGCCCTGGCCCACCCAGATCACCTTTCTGGACATCGCGGATTTGTCTGGCAGAGGGGCAAGCACCACAAAGGTTCAGAGGATGTCCTAAGTGGGGGCAGGGGTTCTGAGGAGAGATGAGGCCAGAGGACTCTTCTGGAAGGCCTCATGAGCCATGCTATGTAATTTTTCCCGCAGTTTGGCATTTCCCCAAATACTCCCATGAGAGGCTTTGAAATCAAAAACACTCCTGGGGCGTAAGTGCTGTGATGAACGCATATATAATCTTCCTACCTGCCCTTTGGGCCTTCACATCACGCACTGGCTCTTTAAACATCCCACGAAGCCTCACGCTAAAGAAACCTCCGACACTTATTCAACCAGGGTCTCCCAGGATTAAAAACAACACAAACATCCCTTCAAAAAGCGCTTCCATAAGAGTCACTGAGCTCCTCAGGGTGGGGGCGCTGTCATAATGTAACCAAACCTTGTTTTCCATACAAGTCGTATTCTGAGGTTGACTTGTGCGAGCTGACCTTCCTCCCTTTGGAGAGGCCATCTTTGCAGCCCTCCACCCCCAAACACCATGGAAACCGTGGTCCGGCCACCACCCCTATGGCTGTGGCTTCCCCGTGGCTGTCCTTGTGACCCCCCCACGCCCCCCCCCCAGATCGGGCAGTCCCCACACCACCCCCAGGGTAAGTCAGAGCCTCAACCACACATCACTCAAGTGGCTCCATATCCCTGAGAACCACCCCCCTCCCCCGTGCCTTCCCTTGGCTCGCAGCCCGAACTGCCCACTCTCCGCCCTGATGCCTCCTCTCCTCTGGCCCAGCCCCACCCCCCGTTTGAGCTACAGCAGGGGCTGCCTCCATGGAAACAGGCACTTCTCCAACTTCTGCCCAGGCTGACAAAAAGTGGAATCATGTAGAGAGGAGGACAAAAGCAGCCCACGAGTCTGGTTCTCTGGTTCTGCTGGAAGGAACATTCTAGAAGGCCTGCACGCTTGCACGGCTCCCGCTGTCTTGCTTCTGAAGGTGCGCCCACACTGTGAGGGGCTCTGTGCTATGAGCCCCGAGGAAGAGAGAGCAGGGCCAGGGCCCTGGGGAGGTCAGGGGGAGCCGAGGTCTGTCTGGAGACCAGGAGTCTCGTCCCCACGGAGGAGGAGGAAGCAGGAAACCGGGACACAGAGGCCAAGGAGGTGATGCTGGAGACAAGACAGCCGTAGAACAGGCAGTCTGAGTCACTCATCCTCCTAAGGCCCAGAGCCGGGCTTCCCAACGCCCGTCCCCCATTTTAGCTGCAGAGGGGGGAGCCCCTTAGGTCACGGGCTGGGCAGTTAAGGCAAAAGGGTGTCAAGGTTTCACCATCAGATGCCTGGGGCAGGAGGAGGGGGACGCGGAGGTCACATTTTCAGTGTGCTCAGGGTGGGGCAGCACTGACCGAGGGGCCTTCTTTGTGACAAGCCCGGAAACTTCTGTCTGGGCTACACACACACACACACACACACACACACACACACCACTCCTTTTTCTAGCTACCTTCTAGATGCTTCCGTGTCTTCCATTAACAACCTGGAGTCCGCGGCATCTTTGTCCACGCCCCCTCTTCAGTCCCGGTCACCCAGCTCCGCCATACTTTGCTCGGACCTTCCGAGCACAGATAGCTCCTTTCTGGACAGTTCTGGTCTTCCTCCAGCCCTAGCGTCTCGGGCTCTGGCGAATCCTCACCCTCTCGGCCCTCACCGCTTCCTCACCTTCCATTTCCCTCCTACTGTCTCCCAGGTTTGTCCTGCTGATCTCAGATCCAGCAATTTCTCCAGATGGTCTTTCAGTTCAGACTCGCCTCTGAGGCTGGATGACAAAGGACAAGGAGCCTGGCTGTGGGTCCCCAGGTCTGGGGGTGACTGGGCAGGGCGGGGTGGGGGTGGGGCTCATGCTGAGGCATGGGAAGAAACCCCCAGCTCCAACTGTACTGTCATTTGGAAGACTTTGGGCCGAGACCAAGAGGCTGCCTCACTATTCCCACTCCATGGAATGGGTATGTCCTTGCTGACTCCTGGGTCCAGGAGACTCTGAACGCACACCGAGAATGTTGCAAGTAGCACCAGCCTTGCCAAAATTGTGAGGAAAAAAGGTAAATGTTCCCTTCATGGGCCCCCAGACCTCCTTGACGGCCAAGACAGGCCAAGCAAACCAGCCGCTGGCCAACCAGCCGTACCCGCACGATGGCTTGATTGGATTAAAATGGAGTACAGACTGCCTTCCAGGGTAGATGACATGGGAGGCAGTGGAGGAAAGTGGATATTTAGGGGGTAAAGTGCCTTTCTCAGGTCCCTTAGACCTGAGAGACTGCCCTCTGAAGCCTGCACGGGCCAGCCAGCCAGAACGTGTGGGATCTGCAAGCACAGCGCTGCTGTGAGAAGCCCTTACGTGATGTTGGAAAATTCTGTTCCCGAGTCCCTTTGCTTCCTCCTCCCCTGGCAGATTCACGTGCTGCAATAGCTAGTCCTCCTGGAGTCACCGCACACACGCACGCGCACGCACACCAGGCACATGTGCACACGAGCCAGCTGTAGGGCTGGTATACCTTGACTACAGATCCTATTTCTTTCCACCTACGAGTTTGTGGTGCCCCTTTCTCTCCAGGTACGGTGGGGTCGCAGCCTTGTGACGACTGCCGCAGGCACACGGTGGGCAGTGCGGGCAGAGCCTTTTTTCTGGAACTCAGCCCGACTGTCTGTTTTCATCTTCCCTCTTTCCATGGCTTGCAGGATGAGAGGGGATCACAGTGACATACGTGGAGCCTGCTTTCTCCAGGCAACGGTCCTTCCCATGCTCCTGCCTGGGGATTTAAGTCCTTACCGCCTCATGTGTGGCCTTCTGCAGGGGAACAAGCCATTGGTCATTGTGTCCAGGGTCTCCTGAATTTGGCTTCCACGTCAGGGACACTGGACATCGGCACACATTTCAGGATAGCTAACTGGTGGTCACCCTGAGGAGTGTCCTTTGTCCTTTGTGACTTCGCACATCAAACCAATTTTGGTCCGATGCGCACTGACTGGGAAGAAATCTGCTCAGGGTGCTCTTTGTTTTACTTCAATCTGGCAACATAAAATGAGCTTTCTTTCTTTCTTTTCAGACTTTTATAAAGGGTTGAAAACGTGTTGGCTCTGGCGCCCTCTGGTGGCTAATAAGAATCATGGCATCTCCCCAGAAACGCAGCCCAGGCTGGCTGGGGAGGGGGGTATGTGTGTGCCGGACCCACCCTGACATGCACAGGTCTGCTCCCCTGCACACGCTGGTTGATGCTGGTTTTGATGTGGTTACGTTACATTTGTAAAGTCTCCAGTTACAGAATTAGGCGCTGTCCTAATTTCCCCCTTCGCAAAACTCTACATGACTAAGCAATTTCAAATGGGAAAAATGTTCAACTGTCCAGTGTCGGGGGTCTGTCTAGAAGATGGGTTACTAGGTGCCGTGACAGTGCCATCTGCCGCGCCTTATAACGTGAGGTTCTCGCACTCGCCACGGCTGAAAGGTTATGGGCACTGAGGTCCAGGTGATGTGTTTCAGACATATTCCCATCGCTGGCTCCCAGGAGGGATGGGACATACTTCTGCCTTAACGATCATACTACCAGGCAAGGTTGCGTTAAAATAAGTAAGTCATGGGGCACCGGGGTGGCTCAGGTGGTTGAGCGTCAGACTTCCGTTCAGATCACTGTCTCCCGATTTTTGAGTTGGAGCCGTGCATCGGGCTCTGTGCTGACAGCTCAGAGCCTGGAGCCTGCTTCAGATTCTGTGTCTCCCTCTCCCTCTGTCCCTCCCCTGCTTACAATCTGCCCCCTCTCTCTCTCAAAAATAAATAAACATTTAAAAAAAGTTTTTTTAAGAATCAAGAAAAGTGTGTACTGAGCCACCATCCGTCTCTCCTGCTCTCTGGGGGCCCCGCTGGCATCCGCGGTGCTCCCCAACCTCCTCTTCCTCCATTCGCTACCGCTTCCCACCTGGGTCCTTCTCAGCCTGTCTTCGAGCTGCTTCCAAATCGGAACCCTTGCCAAGTCTCCCCGTTCTGAGCTCCATTTTGCAGCTCTGGTTTCCACTGGAGCGGTTCTTCAATTGAATCTCAGCCCCAGACGTGGAGGGTCTGACCCTCTTCCTCAGGGCGCCTGACTTCCCGCAGGGCCAGGCATGCGAGCAGTCCGCCCCTCCCGCACCCCCTGCTCCTCGCTCAGAGGTAAGGAGGCTGGGCATGGCTGTTTGTTCTCAATCCACAGCACCGGGGTTCCCAGGGGCCCCCAAAGAGAACTCCCAACCACTCCCTACACTCCGATGGAGGGTCTCCCTTGGACCAGTTTCTGAAACTGGGCTTCTAAGAAACGTTTCCTTGGGGAAAAAGAAACTGTAGCCTAGGAAACGTTTAAGGAAAAGTTTGAGGAAAAACAATGATGTAACATCCCTTCTAAAGCTCTCAGACACTTTCAGAATTCTCTTCTCTCCCACCTCCTCCTCCATGACCCCCGGTTATGAGGGATAATATCGTAGGTAACACCGTATAGACATCATTTTTTCCCCTGGGCTCCAGCCATCAGGTTTTCAAATGGGTCTTGGGCGGGTCTCCCAGGCCAGATCAGTCACATTAGAGCACAAAGCCAACGGATCACATTGCTTTTTAAATTAGGAGAGGGGCGCCCAGGTGGCTTAGTGGGTTAAGCGTCTGACTTTCACTCAGGTCATGATCTCGCGGTTGGCGGGTTCAAGCCCCGCGTCAGGCTCTGTGCTGACTGCCAGCTCAGAGCCTGGAGCCTGTTTCAGAGTCTGTCACTCCCTCTCTCTCTGACCCTCCCCTTCTCATGCTGTCTCTCTCTCTCCTAGAAATAAATAAAACATTTAAAAAAAAATAAAAAAAATAAATTAGGAGAGAAATGTGCAGTGAGTTCCCGGAAACTGCTGAGATGCTTTTAAAAGATGTCTTAAATAATCATGCTCTTAAGCTGGTCTTTGTTTTGGAAACTTCTTTGTTTTGGTAGAAAGTCGTTCTAAAGATTGTTATGAAATTTGCCTACGCCGCTGTCAGGCTGGGGCAGGAGAGGGAAAGGAAACCATCGTTTATCACCGAGGTTTATCACGTGCATTCGAGCTTCAGGCCTGGATGTAGATTAATGGGGGGGGTGGGCGGGATCCTCAAGACAACCCTCTGTGTCCCCATCCTGTAGATCAGTGGCTTCCAGAATTTAAAGTCACGTGACCACAGAGCTGGTAGGATGAGAAGCCAGGATTCGAACCAGGTGAGCCTGACGCTGAATTTGCAGCGTCCCCCCCCCCCCCCCCGAGAACATGGGATGTGCTCTACGTGGGAAATGCTTCAGAGGTCCAGAGAAATCCTTCCTAAATAGCAACACCGTATAATTTATTTCTAAATGGGGAAGACTGCCCAGGAGACGTGACTAACTAGGCAGGTGCCAGGACAGCTGGCATCAAGATGGCACCATCCGAGGCCAACCAGGATGTGAGTCCCCTCATCCCAAGGGCCAGACGATGCCTATAATACAAGAAGCAACGCCACCGCTGGAAGAGTCAGAAGGAAATGGCATGAGCACGATTTGAACCCAAGTCTCTCTCCAAAACCCCTGTTCCCACCACCTCTTCTTCTGGGGTCGCACACCTGCCCTGTATTAGCACCTAGCTGTCTAACTAGAGCAACCTCACCATACCTGAGCAATCATAAAACCTAAGGCGTCCATCCCTTCTAGAAGCCATTTGCCCCTCTATTCCCTCATCACAGCCGGTGTTGGTGTGTGGGAACAGCAGGCGTGGGCCCAAACAGTGGCAGCTCCAACCCACAACTGTATTTTCACCAGGAACCACAAAGAGTCTGCTTTCTCCTCAGTGGTGGTCACGCGAAGCAGACAGAAGGCACGGTCGTTGGAGAGATGACCCAGTAAAATGCCACAGGGCCGTCCAGGCATATCCCACACCAGACAGAGCGATACCCTGCACTAAACTCATCACACAGTCAAACTACCTCGTCACAGCTGTCCCCTAGCCATGTGCTCCAGAAACACCGCCAGGAAAGTGTGGGAGTCGTCTGGAGGACTTTGGGGATATGAGGGGATGGGAATATATTAAAAATATGCAAATTGAATTCACTGCACTCAATCGCAAAAAAATTTTTTTTTTACGAGGCTTCTGATAGTGAAGATATCAAGGTAGAAAAATGGAATATTTGTCATTGAAAGAAATCCCAATAATGCTCGCCTGTTCCTCCCCCCTGACGGTCCCGTTAGTAATCAATCTCGAAGTGCATTTCCAGAACTCTTGTTTGTTTCAAAGTTAGGAAACAAATGTGTTTCCCTGCGAGAACAGAGTCCATAAATATTTTATGCAAGTGACAGAAACGAATTGAATTCATCCCAAGAACGTTCGTCATCCACTGTTAGGACAAGAAATCTACTTGCCCACATCAGCTTCCCAGCGTGGGTGCCGGGAAGGTGTTTGGAAGCCTGGGGTTGAAGGGCACGGGCTTGGTTTTATTCTACTCACCCTTTAGCCAGTGTTGCTATGCCAACGTCAGTTAGCTTCATTCCCACACCTGTAGGAAGAAAGAGCAGAGATGGAATTTGTGTTACACGGGGCTCCTCAGAAAGGACCGGCCATCTCTTCAGGGGCAACGGGGAGTGACAGCCTCACTGTCAAGTTCTTTCCTACATAAACACACTTTCCTCCTCGTTTCTATCAGTAGAGGTGGCTTTCTGTCGAGGCTGACAGCCTTTCGGACATACATCCGGCTTTGTGGGATAAGTTGTGTCTCATGGGAACCGAGGGTGGTGTCTACGGCTCCAGACAACCTGAGCCCCTTGGTAGCTGGTGGAGTGATGTCCTCTGTCCGCCCGGCTCACACCCTCTGCTGGAGGAGGGAGGCCGGTAGCGGTCTGGGTGACTCCGGCTTGTCATTTGTGCCAGGAGCTCTCCCCCCAGAAGTGCTCAGACGGGGGCTGCGGTCCGCTCCACTGCTCCACCGAAAGTGGAAGCCCGTACACAATGGCAGGTGGCGTGGGCATGGGCCGGGGTGGGTGAGGTCGGCGCTGAGAAAGTTCAAGGCGGTATTTGTTCAGTTCGAAGCCCAGCTCCAGACTCTCCATTTCCCATCTCTGTAAAGATGGTCTCCCAGCTGAGGACGGAAGGTTTTCTGGGTTGGCTTTTGGGCGGGGAAACGCTCCTGAGCTACGTGTAGACTTTTAACCACTGGTTTGGAGATGATGACGCATGTCACCCCTGGTCTAACCCTTTGACCCTTATCCTAACCTCTTCCATTCAGCCATTTTTGGTGGGGGGGGGGGGGGCTGCCAGCCCCAAACAACCCGAACAGCTACCTGGGCTTCCCGTCCGGGTTCGCCAAAGAGCCACCCTATCTCTGGTGGAACCCCCACCACCAGGAAGTCTCTTCGCTTCTGTTTCCAGCAGGAGCAGTTGACACAGTGGCTAAGGAACCAGGGAGACAAAGAAAATGGAAAATCCGACCGCCTTGCAGGGCGGGGAAGGGCAGAGGTTGCCATCACGTGGGGCAGCGGAGAAGAGCTGCCCTCTCGCCCTGCTGTCCGGCTGAATCTGCGTCCTTCACCTCTTGCAGGTCTGGAGGAAGACACCCCCTTCTGGTGCCCAGAGTGTGGACGGCCTCTGGCCTTTCCCGACTCTCCCCGCCAGACTGGGGACCAACTCAGCCGCACAAAAACCGGTCTGGGCTGTGGCCCAAGGAACAAGCCAGCATCTTCTCCGAAGCCAACCCCGAGGTTAGAGATGACGGCCACCTAGCTCCCTGGGTCTCAGCTCCTACAAGCGCTGTTTCCTGAGGTCCTGGAAGGGAAACCTAATGGGTTAATGCTCGGACGCAGTAGCATCTGCCTGGAGCGTGGCAAAAATACGGGCCCTGCTGCTTTTCAGGCGGGTTCGCCAGACAGAAGGAATGAGTTTTTTTCTGCAGTGCACCTGTGAGCTAAATCAGACACGGCGCTTTGGGGGAGCCAGCGAGCGATTTAAAAGGCTCTTTCACAGTTAGCGACTAATTCAGCTCATTCTTTCAAAGCTGTTAACAACTAGGACATATGCAGAAATGCTTCCCATAGCCTTTATCACAGGGACTGTGCTTTAAAAAAAAATAAATAAGTAAAGACATCTAATTGTAAAAACCCTCTTTGGACTTCTTGTTTTTGCGGAAAGCTGTATTTCAAAATCACAGCTCCGGGCTGCACGGTGGGCCAATTTTAAAGTCATTTGGCAAAAGGTCCTTGAACTTGGGCATGGGGTTTCCTGCCTCTTACAATCACCAGCTGTCACTTACAGTTTAGAAAAATCAAATATAATTTTGAAAAGGAAGCCTCTCTTTTGGTTTAATAATTTGCCACCAGCGTGTCTACAGGAAAATAATTTGAAGGCTAGTGTGCGGCTATTAAGTGGAGGTGGGGATAATAGGCATCTCCAGGTTGTTTCTGGTGGAAGGAAGGAAGTGGGCAGCCTCAGGAATTTGCTCTCCAGAACTTGAGTTCTTGGGTCTTTGGCAGTTGGTCCCAGCAGTGTGCAGATCCCAGGACCAAATCACAGGCGGGACTGTCACTCCCAAGCTTGCAGGACCCACCACAATCCTGGCAAGAAGCACGCGACACCAGGCAGGAGGTAGCCTTTAAGAGTCTAAAAGGTAACAGCTGAGTTTGGGTTTGTTTGGTTGTTTTTTTCCATCCTAATTCCAGCATCTCAATAAAATTATAAAACGCACAGGTTATTGAGAAAATGGATGTGCTGTCTTGTGCACAATGACGACGATGACGACAATAAAGAGATTTTCCCCAGAAGCAGAGAGTAAATAAACACTGTTATGATACACTGTGCCAACACATTAAACCACACATGTCACTTACAGAGAAATGTAACATTTCACTACACTTGTTTACCAGCGCCTGGAAGCGAAACTAGCTGTGCATGAAGCTCCAGGGTGTTGCTTTTCGGTAGAAGAGCTCTATTTATTGCAAAATTAACTCTGAAGGAGGAAAGATGGAGAGGCCATCCGGAATTGCACAGCCAGTGTCTAATTAGAATAGATAGCTGAGTATTCAGACCCTGTGTGGGCGTGTGGCAATGAAGCGTCTACACAAAGTGAGCAGATACCACTGCCTGCGATATGCAGATTGGCCCCATCTGCAACACTGTAACATTGCATTTCCCAGCTGGCCTTTAAGAAGTTCCTCCCTGGTAGCTTTAACATCAGGAGACCCTTGGAAATCGCTTGCAAATTGGCAAATTTGTGGTTTAGTGGAAAGGGCTTGGGTTTTGGAGTCGGAAATCACAGGGGTAGAGTCGTGGACCCCTCTGCTTCTTAGTTGAGTGACAGCAGGCAACTAAAGCCCTGTCTCTGAGCCTCTGTTTTCTCGTCTGCAAAATGGAATTGTAATGTACCTTGCAGGGTCATTATGAAGATGATACAAAAATCAGCGGAAAAAAAGAGAACATACAAAAACTGCTGAGATCCAAGTAAGGTACGTAGTCTGGTTAATTATATTATGCCGGTGTGAGTCTCCTGGTTTTGACAGTGAACCTGAGTCATGGAAGACATTAACAGCAGGTGAAGCGGGGACACGGGGAACTCTGAGCATTTTTGCAACTTCTTATGTCTCTGGTTATTTCAAAATAAAAAGTTTAAAAAAATGGGGAACACTTATAACGCGGCAGTGCTGTGCCAAATGTTTACTATTCTATTTAATGCTCACAAAACCCCACATGTAAAGTGCTAAGGCACAGGGAGAGGTAGGTAATCTGCCCAAGGCTAAGAGCGAGAGAGCGATGGGAACAGAACCCAGAGGCCGTCTCGCTCTTCAGCCCCTGCTCCAGACAGAGCTTGAGATCTCGTAGGTGACCATGGCTGACCTACAGCGGACATGAAATTATAATTCAGATTCTTTTTCACAGCAATATTATTTGAAAAGGAAGAGGAAAAGGAAACCCCCTGTGGTAGAAGCCGTGTGTGCTCCACCCATTGCCCTCACCCTAACCGTTTCCGTGCACACCGGCCCCACCTCCCTGAGCCACCAGCATTTCTTGGCCTGAGAACTTTCTCTGATCACAGGAGCCTGCTTTGCTCAACTCTGCTTGTCCATGCGCAGGGGTAAGGGCAGAGGAATGAACACCCCTACCAGGACTAGCTACAGGCAGTGGGTGTATAAATGCCCCTGCTCCCTCACTCCTTGGGTGCGATAATTCTGAAAGCGTGCTCTGCACAGGCTCCCAGTGTCTTGGAGCAGGCATAAGCCTCCGTACCCCACAGCGGGGACTGGCTGTATTATAAGGTACCCTACTGGCCACCTCCCACAGCTGCCTGTCACATGCCTGCTCTCTCCTAGGTGTTTCCTGGGATCCCTTCCCAAACATTAGTATCTGAACATTGGTGTGCAGTGAAGGATTAATCTTACCTAAATACAGGTCCAATCCTTGCCCAACTCCTGAGAGGTAACCCCTAAAAATATGGCACCCCTCTTGGGGGACCCCAGACTGCAACTAGGCTCAAGGCTGTCTCTATGGGTAAACTGATTGTGATACCCGATTTCATACGACGAATGCACTCCCATCAATTTGCATATAAATTGAAAATGCTGTAAATAGCCAGGGGAGCTTGAAATCCAGAGCAACCATGAAAGATCTTTTCACCTACTAAGAATGAATTATCAGGCTCCTGGGTGGCTCAGTCGGTTAAGCCTCCAATTCCTGACTTCGGCTTGGGTCATGATCTCACAGCTCAGGAGTTCAAGCCCTGCATGGGGGCTCTTCCCTAACAGGGCACAACTTGCTTGGGATTCTGTCTCCCTTCCTCTCTGCCCCTCCCCCACTCGCTGTCTATCTGTCTCATAATAAAGATTTTAAATATTTTTAAAAAGGAACGAATTATGACATCTTAATGTATCTTTCAGAACAGCTAGATTTTCATTTATATTTCTGAACTGCACCTGTTGAGGACATAACAAGACCAATCTTCAGTTACCTGTGCTAACAGGAGAGCATTATTGGCATGAATTAAAATGTACTCTGTTGCTACATTTGGCTGGTAGACTCCCATGTCAGACTCCCTTGTCAGACCTTGTTGTTGGTTTTTTTTTAATGTTTATTTTGAGAGACAAGTGAGGGAGGGGCAGAGAGAGAGGGAGACAGAGGATCTGAAGCAGGCTCAAGGCTCTGAGCTGTCAGCACAGAGCCTGATGTGGGGCTTGAACTCACAGACTGCGAGATCATGACCTGAGCTGAAGTCGGATGATGAACCAACTGAGCCACCCAGGAGCTGACACCCACCCCCCCATCAGACCTTGTTTCTTTTTTTTTTAAAGGTTTTTTTTTTAATGTTTTTTATTTATTTCTAGGAGAGAGAGAGAGAGAGACAGCGTGAGCAGGGGAGGGTCAGAGAGAGAGGGAGTCACAGACTGAAACAGGCTCCAGGCTCTGAACTGGCAGTCAGCACAGAGCCCGACGCGGGGCTCAAACCCACGAACCGCGAGATCATGACGTAAGCGAAAGTCGGACGCTTAACCGACTAAGCCACCCAGGCACTCCATTTAGATATAATTCTTGATGTTCACTTGGATAGAATGAAGTTTACAAATGTAGTATAAATTTGTCTCAGCACTATTAACAAGTTCTTGGTTTCTAAAACATCCCTCCTCCCCCAAAGCACTAATTTTGCGGATACTATTTGNGTCACAGACTGAAACAGGCTCCAGGCTCTGAACTGGCAGTCAGCACAGAGCCCGATGCGGGGCTCGAACCCACGAACCGCGAGATCATGACCTAAGCGAAAGTCGGACGCTTAACCGACTAAGCCACCCAGGCGCCCCCAGACCTTGTTTCTGATGAGACATTAGTAACACCCTCTGCTGGTGAAGATGCTTAAAGGCATCCAGCAGACACCCGCCCCACCCCGCACCCCCACCCACATCCCCAGAACATCCCAGGCCCCCAGCATCCCCCGAGCCCGGGGCAGGCTGCTGTCCTCACCCTGCATGTCTGTGACCAGGAGGCAGCCGCTTGTCCTCTGGTACACCCAGTGCTGGAAGGTGCAACACTTCTGGCCGGCCTCGGATTCTCTTCTCCGGAAGTTTATTTCCTTCCCGTCCCTGATGGAATACTTCACAAATTCTCCAATTAGTTCCTCCTCCACCGTGGCGTAAGGGATTTTGTTCTCCGGTCGGTGGATAAGAAAAATAGGGATTATCCTGGAAGGGGAGACAGCATGGGCTCACGTCACGTTCTCAGGTGGGAAGAGACACAGGGCGTCCTGTCTTCACTGGGGGGAGCAGATTGCTGCAGAACCGACCCCGGACTAGACGTAGGCGACCCCTCACCACAATGATCGTCCAAGAAAGGTAGATTTCTGTTTCTCACTTGTTCCTATAGTTGGTCAGAAATGCCTCTTTGGGGTGGAGTTTAATCGCCCCTGGACAGCTGAGCGCTTTCATCACAGCCACATCTCAGCGTCCCAGCGGCCATGTGTCCCTCCGTCACAGCTCCTGTTTCCTTCCTCCCTTCCATTCAGTGAGCAAGTACTTATTCAGTGGTTTCTAGGTCAGACAGTCTTCCAGATGCTGTTCCAGAAGACAGTGAAGAACCCAGAGGCTCTGCTCTCAAGGATCTTACACTTACATGAAGGAGACAGACAGCAAACAAGGAAATGTAGAGTGTTATGTGCTACGTGAAAAAACAAAGCAGCGAAAAAGCACTGGGTAGCGCAGGGGTCAGGGAGAGGCTGCTATTTGACTGAGGGAGATCAGAGAAGCCTTGGTAAGAAAGACCGTTTGAGGAGGGGGCCACTTGTGGGGAAGAGCACTGGGTGTTATACAGAAACCAACTTGACAATAAACTCTTTGTAAAAAAAAAAAAAAAAAAAAAGACTGTTTGAACAGAGACTTGTAGGAAGGGAGCTAGGGAGCCCTGAGGGTATCTATGGGAAGAGCATTCTAGGTAGAAGGAACAATAAAGGGAAAAGGCGCTGGGGCAGGAGCATTCTGGGTGTGTTCCAAGAACAGCAAGGGGCCAGCGTGTGGCTGGAATAGAGTGAGCGAGGGGAGGTGGTAGTGGGTGAGAGGGGGCGGGGAGGGAATAGGAATATGAAGCAGACCTTGTGGGGTCTGGACGGCCATTTGAAAAACACTCCCCTTTATATTGCTTTGGATGAGGAGCGCCTGGAGGGTTTTGGACAAAAGACTGCCATTGTCACCCATCTGTGTTGCAGATGACCCTGCCACTCCGTGTAGACGGGACTGTGCAGGATCAAGGGCGGAAGCCGGGAGGCCGGTGAGGAGGCTGCGCAGACCTGATGGCAGCTTCGGCGGGGGAGTGAGCAGATCCTGAACTGTGGTTGGCAGCGCAGTCCGTTCACTGCCACCCCACTGCCACCCGCCCCCCACCATGACGGTTTCACACCTGCTCTCCTCTCCCCCACCTGCCCGCACCCCCCCAACCCCACTTCCAGCTGATGACCTTCCTTCCTGTTTTATTGTGAAGACTGCACCGGCAAGCAGATTGCTGCTGAGAGCTGCATGGCTCCACCTTCCAGGGCTGAGCCCGTATGGTCCCCCTTGGGTCCCCTCACCGCCCCCACTGCGGACGAAGCCTCATTGCTCACACCCGAACGGCTTCTTCCGCTGGTGTCCTGGATCTGCCCACCCCCTCTGGTGCTCCAGGGTATTGCTCTAAGCATTCCCCACCCTCGTCCATCACGTTTTCCTCCACAGGGTCACTGCCAGTGGCTTAGCAGCGTGCTGAGGCGTATGTAGAGCCCATGACCTATTCAACTATGGACTCACAGTTTACATCAAAACCCAGATCAGTTGCAGACTTGCCGTCTGCCATCCGTCCCCTCCCTTCCCCTCTTGAGCCCTCTCAGACGCTTTCCCACTAAGGAAGCTTCCGTCAAGGCCACCAAGCAGCACCGTGTTGCGGAGTCTAACATCTCTTCTCAGCCCTCCTCTGACTTGCTCTCGGTGGCTCTGAACACAGCTGATCTCTCAAAGTCCCTTCCCACGGCTTCCAGAAACTCCCTTTCTCTTGGTTTTCTTCCTGCTTCACTGCTTACTGTTTCCCTGTCTCCTTCGCTGGCTCCTCGCTTCTCCCCAACCTCTGGGCTCCCCTGGGACAGCTCTTCTCTCCCTGCCCTCACTGGCTAGTGGCCTCCTTGCTTGAAATGCGATCTAGATGTCGACAATTTCCACAGTGAAGTCTCCATCCAGACCTCTCGCCTGAGTTCCCGGCTCACACTTCCAGCCTCCTCCTCTCTGTCTCCAATCCATGTCTAACAGGTATCTCAGATCTAACACAGCCCACACGGAACTTCTCATGCGCCCCAAACTCCCACCTCGGTGGCTGGAGACTTAGCCTCCTTTTCTTTTTATTCGACAAACATCTACTACTGAACAGCTTGTGCCGGAATCTCAAAAAACTCACCAGGAGAGCGAACATGAAAGAGACACAGTCCCTGCTTTGCAAGGCCAACCGGTGGTGGTGCGCAGCGGAGAAGCATCCCGTCCCCAGCTCTTAACTAATGAAGACAGGCGGCAGGCTTTCCAGGAGCGGAGTGGCGGGACCCGAGTTGTAAAGACTCAGTAGAAATAAGCCGATAGGAGGCGAAGGGGAGGAGCCTTCCTGTCCCCCACATCTCAGTAACTCCGTGTCCCTCCTGCTCACTCATACACGCACAGAAGCCGATCTGAGTACCCCCTCCTGGTCCCCCCTTCACCCCACCCTGCCTGAGCTGAAGCTTCCCTGCCCCTTCTCCCTGATTCCACCCCAGGGATGCACAGCGGGCCCCTGACGCGCCCCCAACACAGCTACTCTGCGCTGAGCAGGATGTGAAGTCACAACTGGCCATTCCCATTCATCACCGAGCAAGGAATAAATGGTATCGGAGTTTGTGGGAGGATGTGCCTGAATTCGCCTCTGCTCCTACTCACTGCAGAGTGGCTGTGTGCACCACAGGGTCCGCAAACCATTGCCTGGGGGCCAAATCCGGTCCGATGCCTGTTTACAGCCCACAAGCCAAGAATGGTTTTCACACGTGAATATTTGCAATTGATTGGATCAGAGGGGAACACTAACTCTGAACCCCAAGTGTAAGCAAAGTTACTTTAAAAATTTAGCAAAATGGGGTGCCTGGGTGGCTCTATTTGTTAGGCATCTGACTTTGGCTCAGGTCACAATCTCACAGTTTATGGGTTCAAGCCCCGCATGGGGCTCTGCTGCCAGCTCAGACCTTAGAGCCTGCTTTGGATCCTGTGTCTCCCTCTCTCTCTGCCCCTCCCCTGCGCGCGCGCTCTCTCTCTCTCAAAATAAGTAAACATAAAATTTTTTTTAAGTTAGCAAAATGTTACTTAAAAAAAGAATCCCAGAGGTGTGTGGGTGGCTAGGCTTCTGACTCCGGCTCAGGTCATGATCTCATGGTTGGTGAGTTCGAGCCCCACATCAGGTTCTGTGCTGAAAGCTCAGAGCCAGGAGCTTCCTTTGGATTCTGTCTCCTCTCTCTCTATCCTTCCCCCACCTATCCTCTGTCTCTCTCTCAAAACAAAATAAACATTAAAAAAATTTTAAAAAAGAGTTTCATTCTTCTCATTAGTAAACTTATATACTAAGAAATTGTATTCAGTTATTGTATTTTGAAAATTATCAGCAAAGATTTGTAGATATTGGTTTTCTTTCTTGTTACACAAGTGTCTACATAATGGCTTCTATTTTGACTACTGGCCCACAAAGCCTAAAATAGTTATTATCTGGCTCTTTACAGAGAACATCTGCCAATACTGAGTCTCAAGTTTTGTCTTCTATTGGTTACTATCACCTTAACTCTTCATTTCCTTTCTCTGCCCCAAGGCTACGAACATGGTCACATCTCCTCATCTTAAAAACTACCATCATTGCCTTCCATTGATGGGTCTTGGCCCTCACATTTCATTTCCCTTCCCTGACTTCCTTCATTTCTGTCACCGCTTGAAAGAGTGGACTCCATTTGTATCCATGGCCTCAATTCCAATGGACTCTTTGACACATCACCCCTCATTTTACAAAAGTCCTGCCTGCTAAGGTCACTCATTCTGATGGCTTTTAGTTTTCTAAATTAAAAATCTTGGACTTAATATTCAACCTCCTCTCTCTTCTTGTTCCCTATATCAAGTTTTGTTTAATTGCACCTACTTACAGAATATCCCAAGAGCCCGTTCTCTCCTCTCAACCTTCATCATGGCCAGTGGTCAATTTCTACTACCACTGCCCCTTCCTGGGCTGTAACAACACCTATCCGACTGGCCTCACCACATCCAGCCTCTGGACCTCCTCTTTCACGGGCCTCTTCTTCTGGGGACTAACCCTGATGTCCCTGCCATTGTCCTGTCCCCCATGTTCACTGCCACCACCAGGTAGAACCATCTTGGTGGTCCCTGCACACTGGAGCATCATGAGGCTGATAAGCGTCTGAATCCTCCCGCCTCAACACATACACAATCACACTCACTGTCCCATCTCCTCTAAAATCTGCTTGCGTTCATCTTTTCTAATATGGTTTCAAGTGTAGAGGCCTTTGAGAAGGCAGTGAGTGTGTGTGTGTCTGTGCGTGCGTGCATGTGCGTGTGTGTGTGTGTGTTCTGGCATTGAATTGTCTGATTTGGATTCAATGAACACGGAACCAGGAGCACATGCCTCTGTGAGGACCCCGATCCTTCCATATGTTGTTAATATTCATGGGTTCATAAAATTCTTCCACTGTATGAAAGGGAAAGGCATTGACATAACAAAATGTCCTAATCTATCTTCAGGCCAATGGCACATTTGTGGGGGTACTGATGATGCCAATTAGCCTCTGTGTCCCTCACATGCGCAGGCCCTTTCTAAGACCCTACACCAGCCTTTATTGTTCATAATTTTGTGTTGTTTTCTTTAGAAAGCCTCCAAACTGTGCGGTCAAGCCATACAAAACCAGAGGACTCTGTGCATTGTGGACAGTTCACTCAGTTGACCTTGAGAAGAATTCTGGGGTTATAGACTATAAAAGGGGGCTGGAGAAGACAGAATGCACACGCTCCTATAACACAAAACTATAACTCACTCCAGATTGCTGTCTGAGTGGATTTAACAGAAAAGCAGTTGTGGATTTTCTTTGCATTATGTTAATTTTTCTTGAATTTGCTGAGAAATGTTTGCATGGTAAGTAAGCATGTTAAGCATCTCTTGGCAAAGAGCAGAAAGGATTAGACTTTATACATGATATGCCCAAAGCACCACCTCAGGGAGAATATTTTCGCCCGTTGTGAGTTCACAGGGTCAATGCAAGCAACGATTTCCACCTTCTTTCCTCTCCCAGTTTCTACTGATAGATAAATGACTGTCTTGTCTGAAATTTCCATCGTGCCCTGGCATAGCTCTTTCTCTTCCCACTTAAACATGCACATATGATCCCAACCAGATAAACACACAAGTAACCACAAGCACTAGACACCCAGAAATCTGCATGAGTCAGTAAATATTTAGCCAATGAGTGGATAAAAGCAATCACTGTAATTTATCTCTGTAGGGTTCCAGGAAATGGGCACTACATTCCTACACTCCTGATGCCCAGTTCACACTTCACGGACACAGCGCCATATTTTATTTTCATCATAGGATAATTGTTTTGTGATATTCTTGTGTTCCATGAAGAAGATACTCTTTCTTTTGTATTTAACATGATACATTTATCAAATTCATTTTCTATTTATGTCAAATTCTTTTCTATTTAATATGACACATTGATCAAATTCATCCATCCATCCATCTACCCATCCTTCCATCCATCTGTCCGTCCATCTGTCCATCCATCCATACATTGATTTAAAGATATTTATCAAGTATCTCTCTGTAACCCTCTGGCAACCTAGAGAGGAACAGGATAGCAGCCCAGTGTGTCCTCATGGCTTCCAGACAGAAAGACCAGGTGAAATGCTTGTCCCACTAATCCTTCTCACCCTCTCATCCCTCCAGGGTCTCCAAGTCCCCAACAGACCCGGGTGATAATACAAGAGACAGTAAACACTCACTCTGGCACTTCTCCAAAGCCTTCTAGAGGCTGCGCCTCAGCAGCATAGATCTTGGCATAGTGTCTGGCAGTATTTTGGACATAGCATTCCTACATCACCCAAACACATGGGAAAAGACAAGTGATTAGAAAAATTCAGAGTTGCCAGTAAAGCTAATCAGATTTCCCAATATGGGTCAAGCCAATGGATCCCCAAACCCATCCCCGGGTTGGGGGCACAGAAGCAACAATTATTGCAAACTTGAGTTGTCCACCTGCAGAGAACTCTGAGACCTGAAGGAACTATCCAGGTAAAGCTCAAGTAGGTCTCTAGGACCAGGCATCCTGAACGATAACATTTCTAGAATGTGCATGGCTGAAATTCATCCTGGGCTAAGGGGACTGGCCCCATGGCGGGATGTCAGGTACAGAGTGGGGTGTGCTGAGCTCTCCCATCTGAAGCTCTTCTTCAAAGGTAGAATTAGAGTTGTGGGTAGTGAACATCTCGACAACACTGTTGGCTTTTAGGAAAAGCAAACCGGATTCTACTTTCTACTCAGTAGGGCCTTTCCAAGAGGGGGTGTGGATGCTGGGGGCTTTCCCTGACCATACCAGATGGTACTTGAGATGGAAAAAATATGTAGTGAAAGAAAAGACGAAAGAACAGTTGACTCAGAGGAAGGAATACAGTTGGCAAAACTCTATGCTCAAAAGAGGGGCTGCCTTCATGAGCACCAAGTCCCACCGGACATCACTGCATCTGAGACCATCATGGATGGCTGGTGCATGACTGCACCCAAGAGATTCACTGATGTATAACCTACTCATTTTATGGGTAATAATTTTAGAAGGGTGCCTAGTGTGAAAGAACTAGACCCAGCTGTCCTGAAAGCTAGGCCACTGCTGGTGTTAAGAGTGAAATACACAGACCAAAGGGGGAGACAGGGAGGGAAGCCCATGTTCTCTTCTTGTCTCAAGGTTCTGTGACTCAATAACATAGGGAGGTGGTGCTTAGCTAGAGCCTTGGATCAATCTCTCTTCATAGTTGATAGGCTAACATTGACCCAAACTCAGGAAGGCAAGAAACAGGACAAATGATGCCCCTTCTGAATATAGCCCAGCCCCTTCCATGAACTGAAACAAGAATCCAGAAACTACACCCTTGGGGATGCTTGGGAATCCTGGCACCCCCGTAGCTCGGAACCCCCACCTTCCATATCATCCTGTGTCCAAGAGGACTCAAGCCTTCAAGGACCTCATGGGGCTTCCTAGAAACAGAAATGATCCCAGCCCAGGTCAGAACTGGTGAGGGGCATCCAGACACAGGCTGAGTCCCCTGTGGCTGGCATGAAGGGAAGAAATTACCCCAAGAACCTAGACGTGATTCCCAGCATTGGGGCTTAATCCAGTGGCTCCCTTACAGCCACACCCCAGAGGGAGAGAGACACTCTCTTGGAAGTCTTGGAGACCCTCCCAACAATTCGGAGTCTGACTTTCATCTCAGGCTATCATGGGTCCCCCTCATACCTCATGTGACTCTGTAGAGCAGGTGGACCCACCTGGGCAGCGAGTTTGTAGTTCCTCTGGATGAGCTCATCGTTGTTTCTGGTCCCGTAGGCAACAGCGTTGTGCACCTTGAGCACGCAGGCGTGGCCGGGCTGGAAGACAGGCATGAGGCCCTGCATCACTTTGCTGCGGAAGGCTTTTCGGTGGACGCCTTCTCCAAAGTGCAGCTCCTCTGTGGCAATCTGACCTCGCAGGTGGTCCCCAAAGTAGCTGTCACTGAGGAAGTCTTCTCTGAAGATGAGTTGGCTGAATTCAATCTCTTCACATCCTAGAACACACCTCACCTTTAGTTGGACAGAATGTCCACCCCACCCCACCCCCATCCTGCTCCTTGGTTCATGGATGTTCCCACACAGGGACAAGAACAAGGATGGCCTGTAGAACCCGGAGGGGAGATCACACGGAATTCCCAACAGAGAGAGGCACAGCTCAAAGATGAGACTGGGGGGAATGAATCCTCAAGGAGGATGTTGGAAGATCGGTGTGAATCAGTGAATCAGAAGAGAGGGGAGATAACTGGTGAGGGTAAAACTTGGGAGAGACCAGGAAAAGAAATTTAGACAGATCTGGAAAACACAGACAGAACCACGAAAGGAAACTAAAGGCAAGGTGAAGTATGGAGGAGGAAAGAGAAACCGACGACAAGACATGATAGCTCAGTGTTTCTCAGCATGGCTGCCCTGTGAAAGGAGTCTTTTTTTTTTTAATTTTTAATGTTTTATTTATTTCTGAAAGAGAGAGAGACAGCATGAGCAGGGGAGGGTCAGAAAGAGAGGGAGACACAGAATCAGAAACAGGCTCCAGGCTCTGAGCTGGCAGTCAGCACAGAGCTCGATGCGGGGCTTGAACCCACGAACCCGTGAGATCACGCCCTGAGCTGAAGTCGGATGCTTAACTGACTGAGCCACCCAGGCGCCCCGAAAGGAGTCTTTACATAATCCCACAGAGGTACTGTAAACCTGTTTATGTACTATGTGTACATCTTTACTTCACATACAATCAGAGTAAGTTTTTTTGCCTCGTCAAGGACCAATTTTTGTCTTCTTGGGGGCAGTACTACTTCCCCATACTGAGGTCTGTGGTAGATATAAGAAATAGGTGGGCAAGGACAAAACAGTTATAAAGAGCCTCCTCTGAAGAGACACTGAAAAAAAAAAGGCTAATTATTTTGGATTTATTTGTAAAAGGAAAAGTCAAATTATTTTTTTCTAGCACCAAGATTTTTCATAGCTGATTCTCCATGTTTCAGGTGACCATGGATGCAATCGGAAGGTTCCCTTCTAACCTGGAGATGAACAGGTCAGCTTTCTGATGGGCTGAGAGAAGAGGAGATTGCTTTCAATATAATCAGTTTGTTCAGATTTCTTTAATGCCCTTCAATTCCCAAAGTCGACGGAAGCTGACATCTTTCAGAATGTTTAAAAGAAGAAAGAAATCACGGGTCGTGTGAAAATCTCACTTCACATTTCTATTTAGACTGTTTAGAGAAACAGTTTTCTCTGCTTTTAAAAATATTTTCAGGTCATGTGTTTTAAGAGCAGCCTGTGACTGAAGTTAGCGGCTGAAGGTACACAGAGATTAAAATTATTCTTCAAGAGTATTGATGAACAAATAGGCCTCATTATTGGCAGAAAGAAAGAGAGGGAGGGGGACTCAGAAAAAGTGCTGGGGGTGCCTGGGTGGCTTCGTGGATTGAGTGTCAGACTATTGATTTCTGCTTGGGTCATGATCCCGGGGTCATGGGATTGAGTCCCATGTTGGGCTCTGTGCTGAGTATAGAGCCTACTTAGGATCCTCTCCCTCTCTCTCTCTCAAAGAAAACATAGAAAAGTGCTGACAGAGCCTGTGGAAAGAGAGCAAGATCCTCCAGGATTTCACAACGGAGAGAGTGAGCCTCAGGCCAAGTAGCCTGTCCTGGGTTTCTAGAGAGTTCTATGTAGGAAGCAGGGAACAGGCAGGCAACTGAGACACTGTCTCAGACAAATTTAAAAAAATTTTTTAATGTTTATTTGTTTTTGAGAGAGAGACACAGAGACAGAGACAGAGTGTGAGCAGGGGAGGGGCAGAGAGAGAGGGAGACACAGAATCTGAAGCAGGCTCCAGGCTCCGAGCTGTCAGCACAGAGCCCGATGCGGGGCTTGAACTCACGACCCATGAGATCATGACCTGAGTCGAAGTCAGATCCTTAACTGACTCAGCTCCCCAGGTGCCCCCCACCCCCGGCAACTTTTAAAGAGATTGGTGTATCATAGATTTCATCCTTAGTAACAGAACCAGAAAAAAAATTAATTTACAGTATAGAGTATTTGTTTTTTTTAGTTAAATTTAAAAATTGGATCACTTCAAAGAAGGGATGCTTTTTTATAACCCAAATCTCAATTCTAGTCACACGGTTGATTTCATTTTAACAATTTGGCCCCTAACACCACTTAAAGAATACAGGAAGTGTTTTATGGATACACACCAGAGCCCAATAAATATGAGCTATATTTACCCCTTTCTGTGTTCCTTCAAATTCCCCAAATTTTAAAACGCGCTTATTATTAACAAAGGTTTGTGCACTGAGTGCTTAAAAAATGCATCACATTTACTACAAAGGTTGTTTCCAGCTATGTGCTTAGAAATAAGGGAATTTTTTTGTATAGTACTATATTGGGTATAATTAACAATCTTCTCTATAATTTCCAACAGAAATGTCTACTTAACAAAGATAAAACAGTGAAAGAAAAAAAAATAAGTCTTAGAACTTTCCTTTGAAAGCCCCATGTGTGATCATTAAATTGTGCTAGCTTGTGTTTTATTTGACCCATCATTTTTGGGCTTTCCCACGAGCTGGGTTTTATGCGGTTTTAATTAGAGACCAGCCTGTAAAATGTTATTTGTTCTTCCTCTGGAGAATTCAATTAATAAAATGTTCCATGAGAGAGACTCCTCCAAGTAAGAAAGGTGATAGAAAAGTTATTTGAAGCTTCTTCATCTGAAAGATGAAGAGAACCGGGAGGAGGGAATGGACCCCCCCCCAGCTGGGGGGGGGAGGTTGTCATTGAAACTGGAACCCCCCCACCACAGGGGATCTGGCATGAGGAGGAGATGTGATTGGGTCTAGACCATGTCGCCCTCTGGCTGGAGTCACAGAGCTGTAAGTGGCACATTGCTTCCACCAGCTCATGCCCACTGGGGTCTCATTTCTAGCTGGTAAACACCTAGAAACAAGAACTCATGCAAACCTAAAATGCATGAGGTCACAGCAAGTATCTGGGGTGTGAATGTCCAACAAGGCTGAGAAGCTGATGAAACCGAGAAGCCCCTCTTCTGAAAGTCATTTTGTTTTCTCACGTATAAAGAGGAAGGACACTCCTTTGCATATTTAGACTTTTGGGGAGATGAGGACAGATGTGGGAAAAGGGTCTAAAATTTTACAAGTATACTCCACGCGAAAGACAGGCATGTAGCATTTGAATAGGATTGCAAAGAGTTTGCCTTTGAGGTTTTGGACAAATATCATGATTATCTAGTTGCTAAACTATGTCTAAGTCAAGATCGCAGCTCGTTGCCTTTAATGCGCTGGCTGTTACTGCATCATAATTGCCTTGATGGTCTGGTTTTCACAAAGATTTTAGGTGTTTTGTTTGTCTGAAAATCAGCACGTGAAATAAATTTCCTTAAGATGCTGAATCAATGGAGTTGTCAGTCTTACTCATACCTCCTCTAAACCTGGCCAAAGGTCCTTTGAGGTGCTAATTGCTATAGGAGCTGGGCGGGGCAGGCACGCAGAGGTGGGCTGCTCGCTCCAGCTACGGAGAGCGGCTCCTGGGCATCTCTTCCTGGCTCCAGGCTCTCTGGATGTCACACTGGCAGTTGAAAATTAGCCATGGGGAGAGGCTGTATACCACAGAAATTAGCAGATTCTACAAATCGGGGCACACCCCCCCCCCTCGCCGGGGCAGATTGTTAAACATTTTCCAGCACGCCACTGGGTGGGGACGGGCATATGTGTGGGGTCAGGAAATTTCCCCCGAACTGTACTCAGTGGGGGGCGCAGGGGCAGGTGACTGTTCAGGGCAGTTGTTACGCCATTGAAACACCGGGGCCAGTAATGCCAAAGGAAAGCACCAGAAGCCATCTTTCATTTTCATGAAGATGCAAGGGAACGGAGTTCTTCTCCTAGGGCACCTGGCTGTCCTTGGAATTTGCTCAAACCGAAAAGTGAGTCAAACTGGAAAGTAAACCAGAGCAACAAAACAGGCGGTATGAATGACAGAGGTTGAAAACCCCCGGCAGGGGTGGGCCAGACGCAAGTCTGAGGCGTGGAGGAAGAAGTCTGACCCCAAAGCCCCACCAGCCCGTCCTCAACAACTGCACGCTACAGTCTGATCTTTCATAAATACACTTCTGCATATTCGTAGCCTCACGCACTTCTCCAGGCCTTGCCAGTAGCTTGAAATAGCTCATGAACTGTGTCATTCATTTCCCAGTCATTCCTGCGCTCTCCCCTGCTTGGTTAGAAGAGCCGATGGGAATATTGCTTCAACCATCGATGCCAAGAGCCATTTCACGCTTTGTGGAGTGACCCCTGTCAACTCGGGTTAGCTTACCTTTCATATCCTGGTGACTTGCAAGTTGCTTCAGAACTAGAAGACAAAGAAGAGAGTGTCTTCAGTGCATGTGGGCATTCTGAACAGGGGGGAGGGGGCCGGGGAGGCTCGTGGTTTTTCCCTGACACTGAGAGGCTGAGGCTTACCTTCAGCGGTAAGGTTAAACTCAGTGGTCGCTTTGCCGTAACTGTTCTTGATGCAGCAACAATAGATGCCCTCATCCTTCTGACCGGCTTGGGCAATGGCCAAGGACACAGCGGAGTTATCACCAGCACTACAATAGGGGACGTGAATATTTGAGTGCTTTGTCATTCTGAAGGTGCATTTTTCTGACACACTTCGGGAGAAAGAAACAGGTGTTTCCCTACCCTAATGTTTTGGGCCAGTGGGCTGACGAAAGGACAAGATCTCGATAGGCTGTTTACATAATTCATTATCTGTGGGAGATGATGGTGCAATTTTGGTTGAATACCCTCACTCCCATAGGCAATAGTCCTCAAAACCATTTGGGAGGTTTGGCTGTGACGGGTAGAGCAAAGGACCAGAAATGTGAATTGTGGGGGCCGTCGTTAACATTTCTGCTCAGAATTCACCTCAATTAAGTTACTGATCCAGGTGCCCTGCACTTGAAGGGAACCTGAAAACTCTAAACCAAATCTAAACACAGACACAATAAGGGACGAGAGAAAGGGGGTCTTTGCTGTAAATAAGGACCCATGGCTGAGGGCGTTTGTGAGTAGGGTATTCCTCTAGTGAGTATCATTCTTCCATCCGCCCAACCCAACATTAGTAAGTTCCAGGCACTGTGCCATGAACAGCAAAACCAATGGTAGTGGTAGTAAGGCGGGGGGAGGGGAGGAGGAGGAGGAAAAGAAGAAGAGGTGGATGCGGGCACCCAAGCCAGTGTTGCCAAGACAAAATGAACCCAACATGGGTAAGACTGTAAAGGCCTGGCCACACGTCACTGGTGAATGGCATGCCTACTACTGTCATGTGCTCCCAACAGGGAGGCTAGTTTTACTACAGACATCTCAAGTGGAAAATGGACCCAAAAGAGTCAAGTGCCAGTTCTGAGCTCTGAGCAAGATTGCAAAAAACCCTACTGGTTAATTATCCTTGGCTGACAGCTACAGCAAATTCTTTAAATGAATAATTAGTGTTTCTTTTTATAAAGCTCTAGGGAATGGCCTTGAACTTTTTTCTTTTTAAAGCCAAGCCATTTATTCCCCATTATAATTCTCCTTTAGCCATACAGAGACAGGCAGAGTAATGGCAACGTTTTAGTCTGCCCGGCATTATTCCGTCTGTCACAATCCACTGAGATTTTCTGGAGTGATGTTACAGAAAAGAAACTATAGCTCGAATTCGCCATAGCTATGGCGTTTGGGGCATAATTTCCAGACATATGTTCCAAGCAGACATATTTGATTTAATTATACTGAAAACTTAGATTTTTCTTCCTTTTTCAGGCTCCTTGTGACGAGATTAAGGGGATAGGACACCTTCCGTGACTCAGGTTGCTGAACGGGGTCTTGCCTCAGCAGAAAGAAGCATCTGGGGCTTGCCTTAGTTATACTGGTTCCCATAGAACCAGGTGATCTGTTTTGGGATAAGCCACTCCCCGTCAGGTGTGTGGGGTGAAGCCCACGGTCCACAGATCACGTGAACAAGCATTTATTGCCAGCAAGGCGCTTTAGGAAGCCATTGGTTGGGTTCATTCCACGCGGGTATTCTTGGGAATGATTCTCACTTTCCTCTCCATCCACCCCTCCTCCTCTTCCTCTCCTCTTATATCCTAGGGCCCCAGAAATACCTGGCTTTTCTCATCTTAGAAATGGCTGCTTATGATCTTCAATCCCTGCTACTTTCTATTACTTCATGGATTGTCTTTTTCTTTGGGTTCGCCTTCTTGGCTTTGAAATCGGTCAGGCTAATGGGAATTTATGAAAGAGAAAACACAGCCAAATCCACAAACAGAGGAGAGCTCTATAATCTTGGGACCACGGAACCTCAGACTAGAGGATATTTGGCATGCTCCCCTGGTTTAAAATGTTTTTATGTTTTATTTTGTATTTGAGAGACAGGCAGAGCGAGCAAGAGCAGGGGAGGGGCAGAGAAATGGAATCCGAAGCAGGCTCCAGGCTCTGAGCTGTCCGCACAGAGCCCCAATCAGGGCTGGAACTCCAGAGCAGTGAGATCATCCTTCGAGCCGAAGTCGGAAACCCAACCGACTGAGCCACCCAGGCTCCCTGTCATTTCCCCCTGATTTTAAAAACATCATAATACATTTCATGACTTTTTGAGGCCACAAAACTCAGGGGTGGCCAAGCCTGGGTAAGAGGCCTTCCCTGCTTTCCCCGTCCAGACCTCTGTCTTCATTACTTACTTGTCTTGGATACTTCAAGAGTGGGGTTTCCGCTTCAATTTTCCTTTTTACTTCCTATCACTATTTTCTTTTAGAAATATGTTGTGAAATAAGCAACAACCGTGAAAAGTTACAGGGCAAATACCGCACCTTCTCTGCACTTGGGCTATTGGCTTTGAATCCTTTGTCCACCAGATCGTAGAATCTTCATGAATTTCTGCAAACTGGCAGCTTAATTTTACATTCCTGGAGTGGTCAGGGAACATTTCGGCTTGGATCCTTTTTAGTAATATTGGAGCTGGAAAGGAGAGGTTTTCAGGTCAGTGTTCTTACAATAGTGGCAGAGAGCTTCACATGCAGAGAAGTCTTTCCCATTTTATCATGTTTAATTTTCACATCAATCCCAAGAAGGGGGATAATAATTATCACCCTCAACTTATGGATGAGGAATCCAAGTGTCTAAGGGGAGATGTGATTTGCCTAAATATTCAGAAAATAAGCAAATCAATCTAATAAAAAAATCTCTTTTTTCATTACTTAACACTCCCAACGTGGGGCACCTTGGTGTCTCAGTCGGTGAAGCTTCCGACTTAAGCTCAGGTCATATTCTCATGGCTTGTGAGTTTGAACCTCGCATCGGGCTCTGTGCTAACAGCTCAGAGCCTGGAGCCTCCTTCTGATTCTGTGTCTCCCTCTCTCTGTCCCTTCCTTTCTCTCTGTCTCTCTCTCAAAAAATAAACATTTAAAAATATTTTTAAAAAAGACTCCCAAAATGAGATCTAAGTGAAATAGAATGTGAGAGACTTTTTTTTTTTAAAGAGGTTTGGGGATTGTGGATACCTAATCTATAAACGTTGGGCTAAATAGAGCTGCATGTAAATGATCACCAGATGATCCAGGTCAAAATCAGAACTGGGGCTTAGGGCGCAGACAAAATCCAAGTAACTGTGGTTAAGCTCCCAGATGTAAAAGGTAAAGCAACAATAAGTTATTTACTGAATAATACTCCTCCATCTCTCCCCTTTATCGGCTACCTTTGCTGAAGACATCCTAGCAGACTGCAGTGATTTCTTAACTCAGTTTCATGAACAGAAGAGAAGGGTCTTCTGGAATGAAATGGGAGCAATCAGGAAACAACTCCCTGGTGTGTGTGGTGGGCGGGGAGGAGTGGGGAGGAAGGCTGGGCTGAGCTCTTTGAACATTGATTGCCTTTTAAAACCAGGGACCAGGGCACCGCAGGCCAGCTAAATGTGTCATTACTCAGGCAGCCACTGGGTGGCAGCACAGACATTTGAACAAGACCGGCAGGGCCGGCCCGGCCGGCTGGGCAGAATGGCTCGTGCGGTACCAGCACTGAGACGTCAGTCTTCTACAGGCCAGGCTCCAAAACTCCAAACATCACGTAATCCGCGGCCAAGCCAGAGGTCCTCCACGCCGATGCCCGGTTTCCGCTGCTACCTCACATCCCCCTCCTGGGAAGTGGTCCATGGGTTAAACGTGCCTCTCCTCTCTCTTTGATGCCAACATATTTAAAAGCTTAGTTCCTTCCCAGGAAATAACAATGAGCAGCTCAGGGAACAAATCTCTCAACTAGAGAGCAACTGAAGATACAATATTATGGGAGGGAGAGCAGATCCACCAAGCTGATGGATGGCAAAACCCATTTCAGAGTATTTCGGTCCTCCGGGGCTAGCTGTGCTAGGTACTAAAGCCCACCGTCTCAAACTCTCACTTGCCCAAGCTTGCCTCCTCGTCTGGAACTTACATCTTCACAGATGATTTTGTGGATACCCTAATGTTCCTAAAGCTGCCAACCCTGTCCCCCGCCCATTAGAAGTTCTGAACACAAAGTTGGGGGGATAGAGAGAAGGGCATAAAATGAGAAGCAGAGAAAAAGAGCGTCTTGGGAGATAAAGCTGGCTTGGGCAAGAGGCCTCAGGGCTGTAGAAAGGACCCCTGTTTGTGTGGTTGGGGGGGATGGAGAAGAAGGAAAGCCTTCGGTGTGGCTACGTTCCTCTTCTATGCATGTTCAGGCCAGGTGTTGATGGGAAAGGATTGAACAGCTCCCCAGTGAATACAGAGCTGTGAACGTCTCCAGGAAAGGCTACTCAGTTTCATTTCTTTGGGTCCTCTGAGTCACCTGCTTCCATCCACCACACACACACACACACACACACACACACACACACATACACACAAACTCCTTCCCCAAGGGGTCTCTGGTGTGAGAGCGCTTCCCTCCCAGAACGCAGTGCACAGGGAGGCCACTCAGTCTCTGAGAGCAAACTCCACCAGCCTCTGCTTACCCAGGTAGTCTTTGTTCCCATAGTAACTCAAATAACCACGGACAAGGATTCCAAATAGACGTTTCCCTTTGGGTTGAAACCACTTTAGAGAGCTTTTAAAATATTGCTTTGTCCTCTTTAAAGAGGTTTAAACCTTTTTTTAGTATTTGTTTATTTTTGAGAGAGAGAGAGAAACACACAGAGTGTGAGCAGGGGAGGGGCAGAGAGAGAGGGAGACACAGAATCGGAAGCAGGCTCCAGGACCTGAGCCGTCAGCACAGGGCTGGATGCGGGGCTCCAACTCACAACCGTGAGATCATGACCTGAGCCAAAGTCAGAGGCTTAACCAACTGAGCCACCCAGGCGCCCCCAAATAGGTCTTAAAACCTATGTACCAGAAACGTGGTTGGATTCCCACCCCCAACTCTTCAGAAGGTAGTTTTGTATTTAATCCTGGCCGCAGGGAAGGGTGAGGGCCCATGTGATGTGGGCTGGGATAATGACACCTGTTTGGAGGTCTGAACACTCAGGAAGGAGGAGAAAAGACCCCCTTCCCCACCCCCACCCCCGGCTTTGGGGTCTAAGGGGACCCCAGCGTTGGGCTCTGGCACACGTAATGGCATTACCTCGCTGCAAGGTCTTCTCTTTTGACTTCTCCCACCCGTGGAAAGGGAAAGAAGAGCTCTGAGATAAAAGAGGCTAAAATCTGGGTTAAAGGATGAAGTTTGGGGTTGACGTGACACCCCAGCAGAGCAAAAGTGGCTAAAATTGGGGCTCCAAGCCTCATGTGGTCTGAAACTTGCAACAGAGACGCCAGGGAGCTTTCAGGTTCAGATGCAGAGGCAGAAAGAAATGTTATGCTCAAATTTGGAAGAAAACCCAAGATTCATTAAAGCTGCTGTTAATGAAAATCACCAATTAAAGAAGAGACTCCCAAATTGTACCTAAATGTTTATTTCTGCAAATCCGGCTTGGTGGGCGGTCTCTTTAATTATATGAATTAGCTGCACTGATTAATGCTTCTGTTCATCTTTTAAAATATTTTTTAAAGGATAATTAAACAGAAAGTCATCTTAATCATGCTCCCTCGATTTAAACCTACCTATGGGCAGCCTATTCTGTGATTCTCTCTCCAGCTCACCTGGGAACTTGTTAGACATGCACTTTCTCGAACCTGCACCTTGAATCAGAAACTCTGGGGGTGGGGGGAGCCCAGCAATCTGCATTTAAACAAGCCTCGAGGCCAGTCGAGTTTGAGAACCGCGAGTGTACATGCCACGCCATTTTGTCACTGGCACGGCACCACTGCCTATCCAGTGGACCCTCACTTTAATGCAGAGGATTCAGAAGGACACGGGAACTTGAAATCTGGTTCACAAACCCAAACTTTAACAACAATAGAAAGCAACAGCGTCTCACCTTTCCCTTCTCTTTTGCAAGGTGGCTTTTTGATGTCTCTTTTCTCCTCGGTGCGCGATGCTGGTGTTTCGAGTTTAGGAATCTTCTTAAGAAAGCTTGAACCCTTTAGGACGTTTTCCTTCTCTTCCAATCTCAGCCTCAGGGCGGCCACCCTGGATAGAATTTTCTTCTTTACCCCCTCAGCTAAATGTCCACTCCCTGAGGTTTCTTGCTTCATGAACTGGTCTGAGACACTCACTGCAGTGGGGGCCTTTGGGAATCTGAGGGTCTGGGCTGCCGTGTGATCGAGCTTCTGTTCCCTGATTCTTTGACCACAGCCCACGTTGGAGCCCTGTTGACACAGGTACTGTGGTGTCATCGGAGCTTTCTCTGAGGCACATTCACCTGAAACGGGTGCCAAGGTCACTGCTGGGGACCCAGATGCCCTCACAGGCTTGGTTTCCCGAGTGCGGGGCTCCTCTCTTTGAGGTTCCTGGAGAGTGTGGCTTACTGAAAAGTTTGAGATGTTTCCTTCGGGAGATGAGGCAAAGGGCAACGGAGCAAGACCACTAGAAGAGGGGGAGTGTTTCCCACACTCACTCTCAACAGCTCTCCTTTCCTTTGAGTCAGAAAATGCATATTGGTGGTTTTGGGGCTCAACTAAATCATTCTCAGGGACGTCATGAACTTGACCTGTGGAGCTGTGACTATCGACGCCAACAGATGCATGAGTCATTACTGCAAGACAGTTAGAAAGAGGTGAAGTGGCGAAAACAGGTTCTGCTTGGTTGTCTTTACTTTGTTCGGCCTCCCCTGAGCTTCTCTTGCCGCCTTCTTGTATTTGGCTTATTCTACATCCGCTTTGAATGGTTTCCCCACTTTCATCAGGATGTGGGACTTGCAAGATGGCAGGTTGGAATTCCAGTCTCTGGCCCACATGCCCATCGTTCGGTTTACTCTCCTCTGTGATGACAGCCGGTGTGGATTCGGAAGGCCCTGCTGTCTCAGCCCCCCTGCACACCGTCACACCTGTTTCATCGGTGGGGTCTACAGACGACTCTACAATTTTAGGGCCAGTCAAAAACTGTTTAAAGAAGGCAGCGTGATCCACCTTGATTTGGCTCTCCTCTCGGCTTCGACTCACAATACTCACATTTTCTTTCTCTCTGGTTTTGGAAGCCTCTGGTAACAAATCTGTGACGTGTAATTCCTTTTCGTCTACAGGATCCACAGATGACTCCAGGAATCTGGGTTGGCTCAAATACTGGGAAGAAAGGCTACTCCAATATGCATGGGTGGTGGGTTTTTCACGTACATGGGTTCCTCTGTTATTTACAAGGGCTGGGCCAGACTCAGCCTGAGGACTGTGAGCCTTGAGAATGTCCGATAGAGCCCAGACCCTGTCAGGAATTATGGGACGGGCTTCTAACTCCTTGCACTCAGAACCTGTGTGCTGTCTTGGTAGCCAGGCTTCTGAAACGGGAGCATCCAGAGTTATAATCTTCAGCTTGCTGCCTGTTTTCCAAAGTCCTGGCCCGCTCTCTCTAGACCCTTCCAGGACGATATCAGAGAGAGGTGGAGTGTGGCTCAGAGCCTGACCGCCATCTTCCATGGTGGCTTCAACCCCCTTGCACACACTAGTCTCCAGGCCTGAGCTCTGCCCTCTCTCTTCCCTGGAGTTGGCTGGTGAGTGGTCCAAGGCCACTGGGTTTATTTCCCCTTGGGCAACAGATGTCATGGACCAACTTTCTTGGAAATCCTCTTCGGAAGCAAAACTCTGTTGGGATAAGCTCTCCTGCTGGATCCTCTGGGTTGTTTCACTTCCTTTTTCCTGGAAATCCTCCTCAAGGCTCCTACTGTCTGTCCAGTCCACAGTCATACCCTTATCTCCAGAATGGTGGTCAGTCTGGAGAGGGCAGCTACTACAGAGGCCCTCTGGGAACCGGGGAATGTGGCGTTGGATTCCTGGTCCACTGGGAGCCATGCAAAAGGACTCCTTTAGAGATTCGGTTGTGGGATCATTTAAAATATGACCCAGTGGAGCTTGGGAAGTAAGCTGGAAAATATGTTCATCTGGTGCCTGAGGCGAGCTTTCCTTGGGACCGTCTGCATGACTGTTCTCAGCAATTGAGACAGGGAGGTATTTGGCTGGGTGGACTTTGGTGGCAATGGTAACTGTTGATGTGTCCCCACTCTCCCTGGTCACCTGAAGACCCTCCAGATCAGCGGTTACAGTCGTTGGTTTCTCGTGAGGGAGCATCCCAACCGAACCATCCCTGGCTGGTGTGTCTGCGGTGTCTGGGGCACTGTTACTGGGGCTCTCGTTACCTCTTTCTGGAAACTGCACAAAAGAGGTCTTCTCAGAACACAGAGGCTGTCTTCCCTCAAGCCCTCCTAAGTTGCCGGGGCTCAGCACCCCCTGGCCAGCCTGTCCTGTGGAAACCAACGTGGGGGTGAAATTCTCCACCGCCGCGAATTTTTTCTCTGTGCCACCTTCACTGGCTTTTTGTGAAATGTTCCAGGTGAAAGTACTGGTAAAAAGACGGGGCATGGTGGAGTTTCTCTCCTTGGCGCGCTCGCGTGGTGGCTGAGGAGGCTCAGAACCTCGCGTTTGATAAACAATGCCTGGTGTCTTGTCTTCGGGAGAACGTGAATCAGATACTTCGCTGTGACTTCTTGCCAATTCTAAGTCCATGGAGCAAATATTGTGAGGCCAGTATTTATCACCGGGGGCTCCCACAGGGGAACCCACAGTCTCCCATGCTCCTTGGCCACGTGCTTCCAGATGCTCCAACACGCACGCTGCTTCTCTGCCCCTTGGCCCATCATGCGTAGCTTGCAGGGTGGGGATGGTATCTGTGGGTTCAGGGGAAGCAACAGAGAGAGGCTTGGGCTCTTTAGGGTCAGCGCTGCCTTCCTGGGGGAGAAGCACTGACAGCTCCCAGGGGGACCTATTTTCCTTATTGGCATCTGGGATGCTCAGGTCATGTCTGAGGTCTTCCCAGGAACTTCCAAGTGTGTGGTCTTTTCCATCTCGGTTTTCTCCACGCTGGGGGCGTTGAGTACAACTTCCTAGCTCCAGGTATTGGCCCAGTGATGTGTATTCTTCGTCGATCCCTCCTAAGTTGGGGAAGGGGTTTGTTGTGGTGCCAGCAAGTGCAGACTGCTCCCCAGCAGGCTCTGAGAAAGCTGGCATCTGGCTGAGAGAGCCTCTCCCCCTGACTGGCTCTGGAATTTGCACCTATGAAGATGAAAGCGATATTAACAGAACTGTTCCTAAGAGAGCCCACAATTGGGCATAACTGAAAGCCCAAGACTGTGAACCCTTGATGACTGTAATAACGCACGAGAAGAGTAGCAGGAATGATTGAAATCTAAACACTGGTCCCCAAATTCTCTGTAGCTATTAGAGACTTCCTGGAGAAATGCAAATTTAAACAACTGTATGTTCAGGGGGCCCTTGGTCAAACTCCCCCTTATCAGCAAAAAGCCTGCTGACAATCTTCATTCAATGATTTTGTTTTTCTCTCTTGGGGAAAAAAAGATGGAAATAAATTGCATGTAAAACTATTTCAATCAAATCAGTCACCAGAGCTTGTGGGCATCTTTCTAGAAAGACACGTTTTATGTGATCATAACAAATGAAATATGCAATGCTTGTAAGGTAGCAATGGACAACCTTTGACAGCTTGCTGGTTAATAATATTACTAAAGAACAGAGAAAGGCCTGTCCTTTGAACCTGCCTTTAATGAAGTCATGGGGTTATGACTGGCCATCAACACTGCCAATTATTTCTACCTCAAGAAGGTTATAAAATCCTAGAATGCCTCTTCCACTTTATTTTTTTTATGTGTATTTATTTTGAGAGAGAGCACCCAAGTGAATGGAGGAAGGGCAGAGGGAGAGGGAGAATCCCAAGCAGGCCCCATGCTATCAGTGCAGAGCCCAAAGTAGGGTTCAAACCCATGAACCATGAGATCATAACCTGCGTGGAACCTGATCATCACCTGGGCAGAAACCAAGAGTTGGACACTTAACCAACTAAGCCACCCAAGTGTCCCACCTCTTCCACATTAAAACAGGCACCCATGGCAAGCAAACCATGTCCATGAGAAGTAGAAAAGTCAGGGCTGCTTTGGTTTGAGAGAAGAGAGAGAGAGAGAAAAGGAAGGAAGGGAGGGAGGGAGTAAGGAAGGATGAAAAGAAGGAAGGAGGGAAGGAATCAAGGAAGGAACGAAGGAAGAAAGGAATCAAAGAAGGAAGGAATCTCACGTTGTGAGTAGACCCTGACTGTTCTGTGACACTGGCTATTGTTTCAGGAAGCAACAAGATCTTGGACTAATTTCTTGTCTCTTAAAACTTTTAGCTCATCAATTATTTCAATACATATCAAAACGGGGCTCAGCAAACACAAAGGGAATTTCTGCTCAATTTCAGCAAGTGTCTCCATCTTCCCCTAAGCCCCTCAGGAGTCTTCCTTTGGAGCAGCCTCGTTCAAGTGTGCAGAAACTGATAATGGCTTACGGAGGGGAGGAGACAGAGCCTCCCAGCGTATGACAAAGCAGACCTGGGACGTTTCTGTGCACAGTGTGGCTCAGAGTCCTGAAGCCACACGGGAGAATCCTGGTCTTACTGCCCTACAATCAATCCTTTTGCACATTGCCAGTGGGACACAGGACAAGAGCATCACCACACCTCCCTCCAAGGCTGCCTGCTGCCACCAGTGAGGCATGTCATCTTCTCCTTAAAGCTACCCTGATGTTCATTTAATTCTGATCTTATTGGCATACTAGTGCTACAAGAAAAGGAAGAAGTTTAGTAGAATTTCCGGTGCCCTAAACTCCATGAGAGCCGGGACCATCCATCTATCCAACAAATATGTATCGAATGCCTCCGAGGTGCTAGTGAGTATCCCAGATGATGTGGATACAATCCAGGCAATATGTCCCTCCGGAAGGAGCTCCTGTCCTAGGTTGTATTCAAGGCCTATTATGGCAATTAGCACCCAGCAGGTGCACTGTAAGCACACGGTGAAAGAATGAGTACATGAGAGAAACATGCACCCGTTCAGACCGCTCAACCTGATGTCAGCCACTAAACCTCTAAATCTGAAGGGCTTTGGTTTTGTCTGCTCCTGACTTTCTATCTTAAAAAAAGACTTTGAGGGGCGCCTGGGTGGCTTAGTCGGTTAAGCGTCCGACTTTCGCTTAGGTCATGATCTCGCGGTTCGTGGGTTCGAGCCCCACGTCGGGCTCTGTGCTGACTGCTAGCTCAGGGCCTGGAGCCTATTTCCGAGTCTGTGTCTCCCTCTCTCTCTAACCGTCCCCTGTTCACGCTGTCTCTCTCTCTCTCCTAGAAATAAATTAAAAAAAAAAAAAAAAGACTTTGAAAGGGTTGATGGTTGTTTTCAACTGACAGTTGGAAGGAATCATTATATCAACAAGTGATATGAACAAAAAAGTTTTAAAAATGTTTCTGGAAGGAGGCGAGATGGCGGAGAAGTAGGGAGCACCGTACATTTCGCCTGCACCCATCTCTCAAACAGAGAAGGCCTGAAGTTGTAGGACACTGAGCCAGGGAGTTTGGGAAGAGAAAGAGACAGAGTACACTGGGAAGGAAACCTCATGAGTGTGTGAGTGCGAACTGGGGAAGATAAAAGTGGGATGCGACCCAGAGACACGGAGGGAGGGGAGGGAACCCAGCTTGCGTGCAGCTGCGGTGAGTGATAAACCGGCGAGTGGTGGCGAGCTGCCGCGAGTCCAGGGGAAAGGAAAGAAAAGCTGAGGTTGCTCATAGAACCGTCCCTGGAGAAGAGGAAAAAAAACCCTCCGCTTGGAAAGACCGTATTTTTTAGCTCTGGCTGGGGTGCTGACTTCAAACTAGGTGCCCTGGTCCCAGAAGGCACCAGGAAAAACTGCACTGCCCTGTGCCCGGCATCATCCATGGTGGTGGCCGGTAAAGCGGTTGCAGCGGGTTGAGGCGATGTGGACTCTGTGGACCTGAAGTTACTACGATCCCCAGACACACTCGGGTTGTATTGCTGCTTGACCCCAGAGGATCTGAGGCTGCGGCACTTCCCCCACCCTCCACTCAATCCCCAGCAACAGGGAAGCAGCGACCAGTAGAACCGTTAATGGCGATTAACAAAGCCACTCAGGAGTAATCAGACTAGATAGTTTCTCTGGCTAACACCACCATCTTTCTCTCACCTCTTCAACCATATTCCACCCTTTAGCTCTTTGAAAAAAGCTTCTTATCCCTTCTGCCTGTTCATTCTATTTCCAATTTTGCCTCATCTCCGCCCTATCATCTCTCTCTTTCTCTATGCTCTTCAACCAGCACTGCATACACCTGGCTATTCAATTGTAGCTGGGAAATCTGGTTATATGCTTTAAACCGATCTTTGTCTATCGGTTTTCTTCTTTCTTCCTTTTCTTTTCTTCTTTTTGACTTTTTCATGTATTTTTTATTTTCCATCATTCACCTTCCCTCCTCCGTCTTTTCTCATTACTTTTTAGTTTTCCCTCTCGGTTAGCGTGATTGTTGGATTTGTCTGTGCGTTTGTGTCCCTCTGTTCCCTGTGTGTTTGTATGTTTTCTTCTCCAGGGTTACCTCAAGAAACAAGCCAAAGTACACATGGTGGAGAGTCCCAAATACCACTACGAGTAGGAAATAAAATAACCAAGGTCTCAACAAGAGAGACCAAGAGATACCATTCAAAGAACACTTTCTGAAAGGACAAGCTCTAGACAGTCAGAGTCCTCTTGGGTACAGCAGCGCTCACAGGTGAAGAAAGCATAACAAGTCTTAAAAACTAACAAGAGACAGAAAGGTAACCAAAATGACGAAACGAAAGAGCTCTCCTCCAAAGAAATTCCAAGAAGAATTGACAGCTAATGAACTGCTCAAAACAGATATAAGCAGCATAACTGAACAAGATTTTAGAACAATAATTTTAAAATTAATTGCTGTGCTTGTAAAAAGCATTGAGGACTTCAAAGAAACTATGTCTACAATCAACATGTAGTATAAAAATAGGCATGATGAATTTAAAAATGCGATAAAGGAAATACATAATAAACTGGAGGTGTCCAATGCATGGATTGAAGAGGCAGAAAAGAGAATAAGTGATTTAGAAGACACCATTATAGAAAAACAATAAGCTGACAAAAAAAGAGACAAACTGATCCAGGAACAGGAAAGAAGAGTTCGAGAGCTCAGTGATACGCTGAGTCAAACGCAACAATATCCGTATCATAGGAATCCCAGAAGAGGAAGAGAGAGGGAAAGGTGCTGAAGGAGTCCTGGAACAAATTATAGCAGAGAACTTCCCCAACCTGGGGAAGGAAGTAAACGTTGAAATAAAAGAGGCACAGAGAACTCCCCTCAGATGTAATTTGAATTGATCTTCTGCACTACATATCATAGTGAAAATGGTAAAGTATAAAGACAAAGAGAGAATTTTGAAAGCAGCTAGGGAGAAAAGGGCCCTAACATACAAAGGGAAACCTATCAGAGTGGTGACAGACTGATCTACTGAAACTTGGCAGGCCAGAAAGGAATGACAGGAGATCTTCAATGTGATGAACAGAAAAAATATGCAGCCAAGAATCCTCTATCCAGCAAGCCTGTCATTCAGAATAGAAGGAGAGATAAAAGTCTTTCCAAATAAACAAAAATTGAAAGAATTTGTCACCACTAAGCCAGCCCTACAAGAAATTCTGAGGGGGACTCTGAGGGAAGTATTGCAAGGAACAAAGACACCAGAGACACCACCACAAGCATGAACCCCACAAAGGACACAATGACTCTAAACCCACATATTTCAATAATAACACTGAATGTAAATGGGCTGAATGCTCCAGTCAAAAGACATAGGGTAGCAGAATGGATAAAAAAACAAAATCCATCTATTTGCTGTCTACAAGAAACACATTTTAGATTGGCAGATACCTTCAGATTAAAAGTAAGGGGATGGAGAAATATCTATCATGCTACAGGAAGTCAAAAGAAAGCTGGAGTAGCTATACTTATATCTGACAAACTGGACTTTAAATTAAAGACAATAACAAGGGATGAAGAAGGGTATTATATAATAATTACAGGGTCCATCCATCAGGAAGAACTAACAATTATAAATGTCTATGCACCGAATATGGGAGCACCTAAATATTTAAAACAATCACAAACAGAAACAACCTTATAGATAAGAATGTGCTAATAGCAGGGGACTTTAATAC